CCCAAGTAGCTGGAACCACAGGCGCCCGCCACAACGCCCGGCTACATTTTGGTTGCAGTCATTATTGTTGTTTGGCAGGCCCGGGCTGGAATTGAACCCGCCACCTTAGGTGTATGTGGCTGGCGCCTTAGCCTCTTGAGCCACAGGCGCCGAGCCGCAAATCCCATTTTCTAGCTCTTTGCCTTCAAAGGCAAGTGGTGTATGGAGAATTAATTTTCAGGAACAGTGAAGTAGGAGGAGTTTGGAGCCGGCATCAGAACACCTGGGCTGGGGTGCAGTGCCATCCCCTCTGCACAAGTCACAGCCTCTTTGAGTGAGTCTTATCTGTGAAACAGGATGGTGATGGTGACTTTGCTAGATTGTCGAGAAATACAGGTGTGGTGCTTGTGAACTGTAGTGCGTGGCACAGGTGTATCTTAGGTTGGCTCCCCTGGGAGAGGGATCTGGGGGCAGAGATCAGCGTGTAGGATATCTATGGGGGTCCAATGACAGGAGCAGCAGCTGGGAGGGAGGAAAGCAGGACGAGCAGAGGGAGGGAGGCTATGATGCTGCTGCCAGGAAGGTCTAGCTGACCCCAGAGCTCTGTGGAGCTGGGGTGGCCCTGCATGGCTGTCCCTGAGGAGGCATTGGCCAGTTACCAGGTCATGCCAGTTGCCCTGGGGAGAGGTTGAACCTTGGATTAGGCAACTTCCAGGGACGGTCTTACCTAGAATAAGTGTCTTGGTCTTGGAGATTGGGGCAGCAGTGTACAGCACGCTGTAACATAGAAATCATTAGGTCGGACATAGTGGCTCACACCTGTATATAATCCTAGCATTCTGGGAGGCCAAGGTGGGAGGATTGCTTGAGCTCAGGAGTTTGAGACCATCCTAACCAAGAGTGAGACCCTGTCTCTACAAAAAATAGAAAAACTAGCTGGGAATTATGGCAGGAGCCTGTAGTCCCAGCTACTTGGGAGGCTGAGGCAAGACGATTGCTTGAGCCCAGAAGTTTGAGATTGCTCTGAGTTGTGACACCACAGCGCTCTAGCCTAAGGCAACAAAGTGAAACCCTGTCTCAAAAAAAAAAAAAAAAAAAAAGGGAACATTATGTGAATATTAGGAGCTAGGCATTTTAAAGCCATGCAAGGTGATAGGAGGCCCAGATCCTCCGGGGTGGGGGGGTCCCACGTGCCTTGTTGCCGGATGCCTGCCCCACACCCAGGAGGCACCCCAGAAATGTCTGAGCAGCACTAGAGCAAGCGGCTGGGTTCCTCTGGGGTGCGCAGCCTGAGGGGACCCTGCCCTTCCACTGCCAGGAAGACTACAACCACATCCACGGTGGCAAGTGGACGGTGAGCAACCTGCGGCTCTACCTGGAGAGCACCCGCGGCAGGGAGGTGACCAGCAAGCTGTTCGACGAGGTCCACTGGATCATCGTGCAGTCCCTCAAGGCTGTGGCGGTGAGTGTGGGCGGCAGGATGCTTCTTGCTCTCTTGCTAAAAATACCTGTTTTCTCCTTCTCACTGCCAGTGTCTACAGAGGCCAGCTGATTTTAGGAAGGGACAGGGGCTGGGTGCCGGCATAGCTGGGCTGTGGGCACCCCTGAACATGCAGAAACCCCGGCACGGCAGCCACATTACACCCACTGAGCAGATAGTGAATATTTAGGCACAAACCGAAACTCAGAGGTGGAGTTTTAACAGCCTCATTTTGGGGCATCTTGACTAATGTCACAGATGTTTAGGACTGAAAATATCCTGCCTTCTCAGGTCTACTTGCATGCTGGTTTGCAGTGTTTGTTTGTGTTTTGGTTTGTAGGTTTCTCTTAAACGTTGAGATTAATATGAGGGTATAAACCACTAGGTTATATAATTTACACATGAAAGGTTAAAGTCAGAGTTGCAGCCGTGTCCTGCACCCAGGGACTGTGCCATTGTACCCATGCATTGTGACCATCGGGTTGGAAGCTACTGATTCCCTCCCCTTTCTTCTTGAGTTTAATTGAGATTTTTCTCCCGTATGAGTCTGATTGTTGACCTCCTAGTTTCTAATTGGTTTTAAGTACATGTGATGCTTGTTTTCAAATCTTGTGATACTCAGGATCTCTTTACCATTTTAAAGCAGGTGCACGTCTGTTCTAAGGGGAAGTGAGGTGCACACTGAGCCTGCAAGCTGGCCGCTGGCCACGGTGCTCTATGGCTGGAGTCTGGGAGGTGGTTTATTACCCCTGTGTGGTTTCCAGCCAGGCCCCACCATGACCTAATGGGTGATTTTGCTCCAGGGCTCATCCTTTCATAGGCTCAGACCTCATCTGTGACGTTGGGACCGTGACACCAGCGTCACGGGGTGGTTATATGAACAGTGCTCTGCAGAGTTAATTTAACTGTTGGGAAGAGTTCAGTACGGTTAATTCCTTAACACATGTGCCTTTGTGACTCTTCCTGCCTGATTAAACCAGCCCTTTCCACTCCTTTCCCAGCCCACTTTAGCCTCCCCTGGATTGGCAGAACTTTGAGAAAAAGTTGACTATTTAATCAAGAAAAGCTGTGCTCCTGGCCAGGCATAGCAGCTCACTCACGCTTGTAATCCTAGCACTCTGGGAGGCTGAGGCTGGTGGATTGCTTGAGCTCACGAGTTTGAGACTAGCCTGAGCAAAACTGAGACCAGTCTCTACTAAAAATAGAAAAACTGAGGCAAGAGGATCGCTTAAGCCCAAGAGTTGGAGGTTGCTGTGAGCTATGATTGTACGGCACTCTACCCGGGGCAACAGCCCTGGAGCAGGAGGTGGGACAGAGATGCTGAGAGCCACGGCCCTGGCGGGCACTGTGCTAGGGGGCTGGAAACAGCAGGGTTTGGGGAACTACAGAGGGGCTAGCAAATTCCTGTCTTACAGATACTTTTCTGGAACAGTGGTGTGAACACTCGCTGGGTTAGGGCACCAGGCTTTTAGTGGGAATATAATTGCACCCAGAGCCTGGCTCTCCTCCCTGGGTGACTAAGGAGGGTGACCCCAGCTCTCTCCCTGTGGAGTTTCCAGTTAATCAAGTGTCTTGTTGAAGCAGAATCTACATGCCCACTAATGTCTAAAAAGGCCTCACTGCTCATCTCTGGCTCACTGGGGGGTGACCGAATCTCTGGGGAGCTCTCAGAGGTTTGAACCCAGGTAGAGTGAGGAGGGCCCAGGAATCTGCATATTGAGCAGACAACCTGTGTTCCCTATGTGCCTGGAGAACAGCTCATCCAGGGTCCATGTGGGGTAAATAGAATTGAAAATTACAAAGGAAATTCAAACATTGTAAGTAAACAGATCTACTTTTGTCCCTGGCAACCAGTGATAATATGGCTCCTTCAGGGCCTGGGAAGGGGCAACAGGCAGCTGGCTGTGGTCAGTGTCTGTTTGGTGAGGCTGCACAGGCCTTCTCTGCTGGTTTCCAGGCCTGGGACCGGCATCTGTCCACTGTGAGGACAGTGTCACACTGACAGAGGCGCTCAGGGCTAGTGGTCAGGCCTCTGATGAGTGGGGGGCAGAGACTCCAGTTACCCCCTCCTCAGCTCCCTCTGTCAGGTGGAGGAAACCGCTCTAGAGGAAAGTGGAAGGAGGGAGGGTCATCTTTGGGCGTGGAGGATGGGAACCGTGAGCAGGTGTCTGAGGTGTCGCTCTGGCTGTGCCCTGGGACCCCAGCCGTGTAACCCATTGGTCACTCTCCCTGCAGCCGGTGATGAACAATGACAAGCACTGCTTTGAATGCTACGGCTACGACATCATCATCGACGACAAGCTGAAGCCCTGGCTGATCGAGGTACCAGTGTGAACACCTCCCTGTCCCCCTAAGACACTTCTGCCCAGAATTATGCTCGGCTACCCCCTGGCCAGGTCCAACAGTCACTGGTGGTTGAACACACGGCTCTCTCAGTTTCTGGGAGCTCCACCCATGGGGAGGGAGCCATCCCCAGGGATGCTATGACGCCACCGTGGCATCCAGGGTGCTTCCAAAGCTAGTGTGGGCTCCATCAGCTTTGCACCCTGTCCCCTGGCCCTGCACTGTCCTTGTAGCATTGCTCCCATCCTGGAAAGGAGCTCACAAATTCAGAAGGCCCTGGCCAGCATAGCATACTGTCCAGAGACAAGGACCATGCTGTTCTTTGGTGTGTGTGAAGGCACAGTTCATAAATGGATTCATCTGTCTATTTCAAGCTGAAAAATTGCAGTGGCGGCTGTTCCAGAAAGGGCAAAGTGTACACACTGCACCCCTCCCTGTTTTATTTTTCAGAGGCAGGGTCTCACTGTGTGGCCCAGGCATCATCATAGCTCACTACAGCCTCAAACTCCTGAGCTGAAGTGATCCTCCTGCCTCAGCCTCCTGAGTAACTGGAACTTCAGAGACGGGATTTCTCTCTGTTGCCCAGGCTTAACTTAAACTGCTAGGCTCAAGCCATCCTCTTGCCTCCCAGAGTGCTGGGGTTACAGGTGGGAGCCACTGCACCCAGCCCTACCCCCACTATGGAGGCTCCCTGTCCTGGTGTAGAGCCTGGCCGGTTGCAGGTGCACCTGTCTGAAGCCCAGACTTTAGACCAGCCTCACCAGGCTTACTCTGCAGTTGATCTGAAGCTGAAAGGAAGAGCTTCAGGCCTCTGGGACATCAGAACAAAGACATCTGGTTCACCCTCCATGTCTTCTCACCAAGCTCATTTGGAGGTGGATGGCTCGGCCTCTTTAGCTTGGTCACTTTTGGGGGGGAGGAGCCAGAAACCTGCATTTTATTGACACTGCCATTCTTCCCACAAGAGACTCTAAAAGTTACCCATTTTTTGTTTGTTTGTTTGTTTTTGAGACAGAGTCCCATTCCCTTGCCCTGTGGTAGAATGCCATGGCATTATGCCCCACAGCAACCTCAGTCTCTTGGGGTCAAGGTATCCTTCTTGTCCCCTGCCCTACAATGCCCAGGTATTTTTAGAGACAGCGTCTCACTCTGGCTCAGGCTGGTCCAGAACCTGTAAACTCAGGCAGTCTGCCGGCCTCAGCCTCCCAGAGTGTTAGAACTACAGGTGCGAGCCACTGCGCCCAGCCTGGCTTGACATTTTTAATGAATGAGAAGAGCCTACTGTGCAATCACAAGTGAACCTCAGAACTTGCTTCTTTTTTTGCCTCCCTTTGCCACAAGTTTTTTCACAGGAACCATGGCAGCAGTGGAGGCAGAAAGGCCTTGGTCACATTTTGAACCAGGGTATCCAAATCTCCAATAGCAAGCTGCAGGGAGTGGTCCCTTGTAGCAAAAGTCAGTGAGAACCCCGCATAGGAAGCTGTTGGAAGAGCCAAGTCACCAGCAAGTGAGCTGGTTCCTTGATGGTGGGTTTTGGGGTTTTTTTTTTTGCAGTTTTTGGCTGGGGCTGGGTTTGAACCTGCCACCTCCAACGTATGAGGCCGGCACCCTACTCCTCTGAGCCACAGGCACCGCCCAGCCTTGATGGTGTTTTCCAGGCGGCCCACGTGGTACGCTGCCAGAGTGTGTGTGCGAGGGGGAACAGATATAACAGTATTGACATTATCCACTCTCTTAAACAGTAACTTGAACAGAATCATGCTTTCCTTGATGAGCCAGAATCTTAATTATGAACATTACTTAATAATGCTTTAATCTTCGCATATTCACAGTAAGAATTAGTGTCATGATATACCACAGTGGTCATTTTAGGGTAGGGCGTGCATATCAGATGCTCTGCTGGCAACCCAGAGGGACGGTCTGACAGGGCAGCCTGGATAGCTCGCATGTTTGCTGGCCTGGTCTCCCACAGCCTGAAACTCTAACCCTGGTCACCAGAACGTTTGCCTAAAGCACGAGTGACCAGGTGATGACTGAGGGTCGGGGGGATGCTCCACAGAGCAAATGCCTGCCTTTTAACACACTTTGTGACATTGCTGAGCTGCTCAGAGGGCTTGTGGAACTAACTTTCCTTGAGTTCGAGTTAGAATACGGCTTTATTGATCAGTTGTCGCTCTCAGTAAAAGTGGGGAGCCTGCTAAGTGGTTCACTGATTCTAGCAGACCGCTGGGCAGCTCTCGGTACTTAGGACAGAGCTGATCACACAGGTAGACAGTGAAATTGTGTCTGTGTGTCTGCTGACCCAGAATTTCCATTTACATGATAGCTGATTTGCAAATCCTAGTCCTAATCCTATCATTAAGTATTATTTATGTTTCATGGAATAGCTAACAGAAGTAGGTCACAAAATGCTTCCCATACAGGCTGCTCTGAGGGCATCAGATATTGGCAGTATAAAATGATGACAGCTTCATCTAAAGTGTGTGGCAGCTCGCCTTGTCTCCCACAGTGCACATTTTGTCCCGGGGGAGCAAGCTGGCGAGTGAGGACCGTGATCTTCCCTCTCGCAGGTTAACGCGTCCCCGTCTCTCACCTCCAGCACCGCCAACGATCGAATCCTTAAGTACAACCTGATTAACGACACCCTCAATATTGCTGTCCCTAATGGCGAAATTCCAGACTGCAAATGGAACAAGTCCCCTCCAAAGGAAGTTCTTGGCAATTACGAAATTCTGTAAGTTTGCGTGGGGGTGGGCACTTGTCCTTCTGCGTGTCAGATTGAGGTATGCCAAGACCCCACAGGGGTGTTCCGGGTACATGTGGACTCACATTATTTGGGCAGAGTGTGTCATTTACTAATGAGAATACGGGACAGGTCATGTGGTAGCAGAAACGCAGTTTGGGAGCTAAGCTAGATCTAGTCTGTTCTGCTTAGTAAATATTTACGAAGCACTTACCACATGCCAGGCTCTGCGTTGGCTGCCGGGACAACCTGGAGCAGGATGGACAGGTGCTCAGGCTCAGTCCCTTTGAAAGCCTCTGGGAAACTTCCCAGAGCATCCTTGGTTGTCTGACCATGGGGCCAGTGAAGTGAGAATTTATCCTCCAGTTCTCCTGTTATTGGCTGAGGGCTTTTCCTAGCAGCATTAACCTCTTAGCTTTTTAGTAAGGCACTGTGGTCTCCCGTAGTTGCTCACACCCTGGCTCCACCTCCACAGCTTTCCCCGCTGCTACTGTTTGAGCCTCAGTTTGGATGCCTTTAAATGGGGGTAAGAAGATCTGTCTTACAGAATGGGGAGGAATATATAATGATAATGATAGCTCATCCTTGAGGGCTGACTACGTGCCAGGAACTATGTCGAGTGCTTTATGCATGTGGTCACGTTGCTTTCCCTGGCAAACTCATGAAGTAAGTAGGAATGTTAGCTCCATTTTACAGATGTGGAAACAAAGGCTTACAGCAGTTGAGTGGCACTTTCGTACCCATCAGGAGGGCAGTGGCTGAATGAAGGGTGGTTTATTCATATGATGGCTGTTGGGTGGCTGACTCAGAGCTGTGCTGTGGGCCCCGAGGTTGGGTGAGCAGGGAGATGTGGAGGGACACGCGTGCCTGTGTGTGAACATGCACTGTGGGGTGGGGGCCAGGGAACAGGAGAAGAGATGGCAGAAGAGGAGTGTGTCAGGGTCACATTGACATATGCTGTCAAAGGAAAGTGAGCATTCCACTTAAAATTTCAAATGAAGGAATATTTAGAAGTATTTTAGGCCCCTTTAGAGACTTTTAAACAATGCTGTGCTGAACCCTGACTGTGCCTAGATTATTCTGCTTGTCAAACCCCAAAGAGAAGCCTCTAGAATAGAAACTGGGAAGAACCACCCTGTCTCTGCTCGGTTCTCTTTGCGTTAGCTCCATAAGTGGCCAAAGTGTCCCCAAGCACAGCCTGTCGGGTGCCAGCTGCCTGCCAAATGCTCCCTTTTGTTTGTTTTGTTTTTCAAGCAGCACAGAGCAGCACATGGTCAGTGGCGCTGGCTCCTGCATGTGGTCCTTACTCCACCCACTCTCAGCAGGTTCTCATCCCCCGCCCTTGAGCAAGCTCCTGGGGGTGAACATGAGCCAGGCAGGTTGTCACTCCAGCCCATGAGTCAGTAACATAGTCATGGGCAGACACGAGGATAATAGGAATAGGAGTCCAGGGGGCTTCAGCAGTCCCTGGGGGCAGGGGTGTCTAACCTGGGAGAGCCCCCCACAGACAGAACCTTCAGTGTCCTGGGATGTCCTCTGCCCAGGTTTATTGTGTCGTAGGGACTGCAGCCCTGTCTCTCCTTGGAGAGCTGTGGAGGAAAGCAAGGCCCTCATGTTATCATCCTAACATCCCCACCCCAGCACAGTGATCCCTGGAGTGTCTGCCACATGGGTGACAGCTCACAGGCTTGCTTCCCTCCTTCTCTTTCAGCCACTAGAACCCCTAGGTTGAAAATACATTCTTTTTGGTTTATTTTCTCACTTGGGGGGGGGACAGAATCTCACTTTGTCAGTCTCAGTAGCTCACAGCAACCTCAAACTCTTGAGCTCAAGTGATCTTCTTTCCTCAGCCTCCAGAATAGCTGGAATTCTGGGCACCCACCACAATGCTGGCCTATTTTTTAGAGATGAGGTCTTGCTTTTGCTCAGGCAATCCACCAGCCTTGGCCTCCCAGAGTGCTAGGATTAAAGACATGAGCCACCGTGCCTGGCCTATTTCTTTACTTGCAATCATCCCACAGATTGCAATTTTGGAAATAAACATATAACAAAATCACACCCTTTTTCTGAAGTCAACAAAATTAGCATTTAGCTAATGCATTGTCGCTGAGCTTCTGAGTCCCTTGGGTTTGACATAGATGTCTACGTGTAATGTGGGTCCTTAGTCAGGGTGACAATGTTTACACCTGGGGACATGCATTAACAGTGGATGGAGATGCTTCTTATAGTCCTTGGCTCTGCAGCATGAAGGGCTCTGAACTTGGAGTCAGGAGTCCTGGGTGTTCACCCTGAGCAGGCCTATAGAGCCCAGTTCCTCAGGTAAGAGGAGGGTACTGATGCCCAAAGTGTGAGTCTGAAGGGTGGTGTGAAGTTGGGGTGGGTAGCCCCACTCCACACCAGGGCCTGCACCAGGTGCAGGCAGCATTTCACCACTCATGGGGACAGGGGTCTGGGCCCCTTCTGCAGCCGTAAAGGCCGGGGACTTGCCTATCTGCCGTGATCCGTGATCTGTTGGGGTGCAGCAGCATCTCAGCACTCCCATGGCCTGAAGCTTGAATGTGAATCAGGAAACAGGCAGTGAAAGGAAATGGGGAGGGGTGACAGGCTCACAATGGCAGAGTCTGGTGCCAAGTGTGAACTGCAGGGCTCCTCTTTGTCCTGAGTGTCCTGGCAGGTCACTCACACCCCTATTCCCAGTCTGAGATGGAGTTAGTCACCCCTGCACACAGGTGTTTTGTGCACCGTGAGTTCTGTCCCTCTCCACCCTGGACTGGGTCAGGTTCGTCTCATTCATTTCCTTTGGGGTCAAATTTGATCTGGTGGCCTGTATAAGATGTCCCCTGCAGGGTGGGCAGGGAGGACTGTCCATAGTAACAGCTCCACGAGGTTGTACTCATAGATACTATAGCCTTGGGTAGAGTTGTGGGTGGCAGGGCTGGAGTCAGGTATGGCTCGGGGAGCCAGGACCCAATCACAATGGTGATGTCATGTTTGTCACATGGCAGCTCAGAGCTTGTAGCTGCTACCCGTAGATGGGAGCTCACTGTGATCTTGTAGCTGCTTCTGTTTCTAGGTATGATGAGGAACTGGCCCAGGGTGAAGGGGCTGACCGAGAGCTGAGGAGTCGCTCAGGCCAGTCGCTGGGGCCCAGAGCGGGTCGATTGAGAGACACGGGGAGAACCGTCCTCACAACCTGGAAGTGACTCCACCTGGACCTTGTTGAGACCACTCACTCTACCTGGGCTCCTGCTGAATACCTATTTTGAAATGTCCTTTTTCTAGAGCTTTTCTCTTTCATAAGCCCTGTAAATAAATAAAGGTACTTCTCTGAAAGGTCTGGAGGCTATTAAATTCGTGCTGGGAGAACTGATTCCTATAAACATATAAACCTAGCTCTGTAGACAGAAACGCACAGCTTTGGCCTGGGATTTAGTCTATTACAAAGTATACACATTTTAAAATATTTTGCACTGGGTGGTGCCTGTGGCTCAGTGGGTAGAGTACCAGCCCCATATACCAAGGGTGGCAGGTTCAAACCAGGGGTAGCACCTGTGGCTCAGTGAGTAGGGCACTGGCCCCATATACCGAGGGTGGCAGGTTCAAACCCCACCCCAGCCAAACTGCAACAAAAAATAGCCAGGCATTGTGGTGGGTGCCTATAGTCCCAGCTACTCGGGAGGCTGAGGCAAGAGAATCACCTAAGCTCAGGAGTTGGAGGTTGCTATGAGCTGTGACACCATAGCACTCTACTGAGGGTGATAAAGTGAGACTCTGTCTCCAAAAATATATACGTATTATATATATATATTTTGCACCAAAACAAAAACAAAGGCCCTATTTTTTGTTTCAATATTGGTAACAGGATTTTCCTCTCACGGAATGTATATTTCAGGTTGAGTCTTTCCCTGGTGCTGACTCCAGCTGAGCACCTAGGTGAGGCGTGTGGAGTAAACATGTCATACCGTAGGTGTGCACACTTTTGTCATTGGCATCTATTCCCTGATGTACACATTTTCAGTGATTTTTTTTTTTTTTTTGGAGATAGAGCCTCAAGCTGTCCCCTTGGGTAGAGTGCTGTGGCATCACAGCTCATAGCAACCTTCAACTCCTGCGCTCAAGTGAGTCTCCTGCCTCCGCCTCCCAAGTAGCTGGGACCACAGGCGCCCGCCACAACGCTTGGCCATTTTTTTTTTTTTGGTTGCAGCTGTCATTGTTTGGCGGGCCCAGGCTGGATTCAAACCTGCCACCTTAGGTGTATGTGGCTGGTGCCCTAGCCACTTGAGCCACAGGCGCCGAGCCTCCAGTGATATTTTATTGCCAATTAGGGAGAAGGTCCTTTATAGCACAGATGGTAGAGCGTGGAGGTGGTGATAAATAAGTAAATGCAGATGGTACAACTCAACGTGAAAGAAGCACGCCACAGAGGGCGCTTAGCCAGAATCTGAGGAAACTGCTTTGGGGGATCTGTCTGCTTCTCTGACTTCACCATGTGGCCGAGATGTGCATTCTGTGCGTTCCTTCATGTTTAGGTTTGATGTTTGTGAAGTCGAGGGAGGGTGTGGCACTGGGTCTCTGAGTCAGACCTGGGCTCAGGGCCTGGCTCTGTGTTTGTTAGCCAAGGCTGTCCTCTGGGCTCATTGGCCTTTGTCTCCCAGTGTCTAAACTGGGAATTAATGACCTCTGCCTCAGAAGTAAACAGTGTCACAGCCCAGGGACCCTGCCTGCCCCCCTCACCTGGAAGGATGTGACCTCCTGGCTGGCCACCTCAGCCCCGTACACAGAGGGAAAGACATGCCTATTAACCTTTGCTGCTTTTCCACCCACCAGTCCTGACAAACCCAGTTCTCGGTTACTTTTTTTTTTTTTGCCTCTCGATGTGGGAGGAGGGTGGGGCCCTGGCTGGGAATGTGGACCTCTGAGGCTTGAAGGCAACTCCGTCTCGTTGAAGGAACAGAGTTATTCATTTGGTGGCCAGGTTGCTAGGTGAGGGTGAGTCTCTGCTAAATGGATTTATGTCAAATATTGACTGTCGCATTAGTGATGTCATGTTCTGGGCAGATGTTTCCTCTGAGAGCTTCCAGAACACACATGGGTGGGAAGTGTGCGGTGTCCACAGCCAGCCTTGGGAAACTGCGGGGCTGCACACAGCACTGCTTGGAGCTTGGCTGCTTCCCCCCGAAGTGGGCCCTGTTGGGAACTGTCCAGGATGACAGTTTCCTCCTTGATGGGGTAGGTCCCTGGGCCTGGCTTGAGGGTTGCACCATCTGGTCATTTTCCCAGTCTGATACGTTTGATTTTCCCATGCTAGTGAGGTGTGGCTCTCCTGCAGCAGTCCCCGTGTCCATGACAGCCTCCTCACTCTGTCTTCCTTCTTTATCACCACCTCCCACCTAGGCCACTGCTGGAGTCCCCACCAGTCTCAGCCTGTGGACAACTGGGCTCCACCCTCTGGCCCACAGGATTTTTCTAATGTCGCGTTATTTTGCCCCTTCACACAGTGCTTCTCCAGCACGCTCTATGGAGGGTACCAAGCTCGGCAGGGTCTGGAGGTCCTCTGGCCCAGGCTCCCATCTGCCTACCCTGCTGGCCAGTTTTCCCAGCTCACATAGCTCTGTACACAGAGGCCACCAGTCCCAAACTCACTGACTTTTCTCTGTGTGGGACATCCTTTCCCTGCCCTGAGATGGCCACTGTGTGTCCAGCACTGCTGGCCCTAGAGCTCTGAGCTTCCAGCCAGCAGCCCCTGCAGTCCATGGGGGCAGGCCAAGGGCCAAGCTCCCTGCTGAGGGACCCTGCCCCCGGACTCACCTAACCTGAACTGTGCCCAAATGGAGTGCCCACGGCCACTTTAGGACCCTTTGTGAGCCAACAGGACCATCATCTAATTTTGATTCTTGTTTCTCATTTAGGAAGACGAGGAATTATAAGTCTTTTCTGATTTACCCTGAATCATATTGCATCTCATATGCTAAGTTAAAAATAGCATTCTCTGGTAAAAGAAATTTGAAGAGATAAAAAATAAAAATACATAATAAGAAAAGCATTCCTGTGCTGGTCTTTCTTCTCTGTCTTTGCAACAACAAGCGGCTAAGGCGCCAGCCACATACACCTGAGCTGGCAGGTTCGAATCCAGCCCAGGCCCGCCAAACAATGACGGCTGCAACCACCCCCCCCTTAAATAACCGGGTGTTGTGGTGGGTGCCTGTGGTCCCAGCTACTTGGGAGGCTGAGGCAGGAGACTCGCTTGAGCCCAGGAGTTGGGGGTTGCTGTGAGCTGTGATGCATGGCACTCTACTCAGGGGGACAGCTCTGTCTCAAAAAAAAAAAAAAAAAGAAAGAAAGAAAGAAAAGAAAAGAGAAGAAAAGCATTCCTATTTTTGTTCACAGGAGCGTTCCGGGTGCTCCTCAGTGGGAGCCTGCCAAGGCTGTAGCCTCTTCTGCATCAGCCCAGGCTCTCCCTGCCTGCCACTTAGTCAATGTTTTGCTTTTCTTCATGTTTAAACTCACTTGATTATTCAAGAAAGAAAGTGAGACTCTGTCTCAAAAAAAATAAAAATTACTATTATTTTTTAAGACAGAATCTTATTCCATTGCCCTGGGTAGAGTGCCATGGCGTGAGCCTAGCTCACAGCAACCTCAAATCCTCAGCCACCCTGAGTGCTGAGATTACAGGAGTAAGCCACTGTGCCCATCTTTCTTCTCTGTCTTTGCACCAAGCCATCACCAACCTGCTCCCCCACAGGGCTGCTCCTGGCAGGCCTTGGAGGTAGAGTAGGAGACTGTGAGAACATTATCATGGGTAATTTCACTAGTTTGGACATGGCCAAGTATGAAAAAAGATTGAATTCTTCTCCAAGGTTGGCAGAAGGCCTGTTTATCCTTGGACAACAGGTAAAATACATTCTTTTCTTCATTGGGTGCTGCAGGTGCTGTGAGTGGCGAGTGTGTCATAGGCGGTAGGACCTCAGAAGTGGCTGGAGAAGGGAGCTGGCCTTGGTGTCACTGTGCAAGTGCATGCTGCCTTAGCTGCAAAGTGGAGGGAGGACCAGGCAGGCCTGGGCATGGCTAGAAAGGGGCAGTGGTATAATTGTTTTACCTTTACAAATTGCATTCCCACAAAGCTTTAGGGGTGCACTAAATTAAAAAAAAAAAATCAAGACCTTAACCAAGGATGTTGCTGTAGGAGGAAGACTTGGCCCTCATAGGTTCAGTCCTTCGAAGGAGGAGCAAGTCTAGAGGAGTGCAGGGACTCCCCAAGGTCATATATCTAGCAAAAGGCAGAGTCTGCTTTGGAAGTAGTCATGTGTGACTTAACACTTAATTCTTGGCTTGGTGCCTGTAGCTCAACTGGCTAAGGTGCCAGCCACGTACACCTAAGGTGGCGGGTTCGAATCTAGCCCGGACCCGCCAAACAACAATGATGGCTGCAACCAAAAAATAGTCGGGCGTTGTGGCGGGCGCCTGTGGTCCCAGCTACTTGGGAGGCAGAGGCAGGAGACTCGCTTGAGCCCAGGAGTTGGAGGTTGCTGTGAGCTGT